CTCTCTGCCTACGGTTTACCGGGCAGTTCTATTTGACGATATATATATATATATATATGTGAGCTCACTTTCCTTGTGGCATGACACCCTCGCAATAGACCGATACCAAGTCATAAAACTAAACTGGAGGTTTGGCTGTTGGGCAAAACGTTTAGAGGAGTTTCGGTTAGCGAGGCAAGTTGGCAAGGGTTGCCTTTTGGAGAGCATTCAGTTGAAGCAGTCGAAAATGAGTGACATCCCACAGCATCCCATTGATTATCGAAAAAAATCAAATATTACGCCAACCATTTGAAACAAATAAGACTTAGTTGAAATAGCTAAATAAACTGGGCTACTTGACACACCAGGCCGTGCAGCTGGGGCAAGTCGCCCGGGGGTCACCTGCGCAGGCTGCACGGCGCACCCCCTCCTGCAGGTAGAAATCAGCCATCATTTTTTTCTGTTTCCGTTTTTTTTTTGGGGTGAGGGTTTTCTGTGCATGCCCAGATGATCTCAAATCCGGGGTTTAAAGGGGGGAGGGAGGGCCCGGAGGCGGGTATAAATTGGTTTTTAAAGGGCTGGAGGGGTTTAAAGGGGGTGCCTTAGTTTGATTCTTTTTTTTCTTTTTCAATCTTCGATTCCATGAGGAATCCTGATATGACCCTCAGCCAAACAATGTCATATATTCTTTGAATTTTTCTGGAATTGTATTGATTTTGTTTTTCGTTTTTTTGGCGCTGGGGCTGCCCGGAACCCTGCCCGAGGTTCATGCCCGGCTGGGCACCCGGGAGTCTATCCGGGCACAAGTTGGGTGACCGGGCGCCCGGCCAGACAGCCCAATAAGTAAACGAATAAATTAAGTAAATCTAGCAAGGTTAATAAACAAGATCAGAAAATCATGAAAATGTATGAAATTTAAAATCTTAAAAAATATATATATATATTGAAATTTCAAATTTCTAAAATTAAAAATTACAGTTGCCTTACCATTTCCATTCTTGATGCTCTTCACCATTTGCATTGTTGAGGAGTTCCACACACTCAGCACGCCATCTTGTGAGGCAGTGATGTATGCGTGAAGATGTGGCACGTACACAATCTGAGAAAGGGGTCACATTCATTAAAAAAAAAATAGAAAAGGCCACGCGATTTCATTGCAAGGAACTGAGTTAAGAAACCAAATCATCCTGAAGGCGGCGTTGGTCATAAATAAGTCCTGGCAGGAGTCTTACATTCACACGGGGAGAGAGCAAATGAATGAACAAAGGACTGTCTTTGATAAAACAAAGGACGCCCTCCTGCAGCAGCACTGGAGGGGGGGAGGTTTAGGGGGTGTAGAGGGGCAGTACATTGCGGTCCCTGATCGCTTTAGGAAACTTCCACGGAGAGAGAGAGAGAGAGAGAGAGAGAGAGAGAGAGAGAGAGAGAGAGAGAGAGAGAGAGAGAGAGAGAGAGAGAGAGAGAGAGAGAGA